TCTTGGCTGAAAGCAGAGAATACCAGAAAGATGTTTACCTGTATTTTATTGACTATGCAAAGGCATTCAACTGTGTGGATCATAACAAATTATGGTTAACATTGCGAAGAATGGGAATTCCAGGACATTTAATTGTGCTCATGTGGAACCTGTACGTAGACCAAGAGGCAGTTGTTTGAACAGAACAAAGGAATACTGCATGGTTTAAAATCAAGAAAGGCGTGCGTCAGGGTTGTATCCTTTCATCATACTTATTCAATCTGTATGCTGAGCAGATAATCCTAGAAGCTGGACTATATGAAGAAGAACAGGGCATCAGGATTGGAGGAAGACTCATTAACAGCCTGTGTTATGCAAATGACACAACCTTGCTTGCTGAAAGTGAAGCGGACTTGAAGCACTTACTGAGGAAGAGCAAAGACCACAGCCTTCAGTATGGATTACACCTCAACTTAAAGAAAACAAAAATCCTCACAACTGGACCAATAAAAAACATCATGATAAGTGGAGAAAAGATTGATGTTGTGGAGGATTTTGTTTTACTTGGATCCACAATCAATGCCCATGAAATCAGCAGTCAAGAAATCAAATGATGTATTTCATTGGGCAAATCTGCTGCAAAAGATCTCTTTAAAGTGTTAAAAAGCAAAGACGTCACTTTGAGGACTAAGGTATGCCTGACTCAAGCCATGGTATTTTCAATCACCTCATATGCATGTTGGACAATGAATAAGGAAGACCAAAGAAGAATTGATGCCTTTGAATAGTGGTGTTGACAAAGAATATTGAATATCCCATGGACTGCCAAAAGAAGGAACAAGTTTGTCTTAGAAGAAGTACAACCAGAATGCTCCTTAGAAGCAAGGATGGCAAGACTACATCTCACATACTTTGGACATGTTATCAGGAAGGATCAGTCCCTGGAGAAGGACATCATGCTTGGTAAAGTAGAGGGTCGCTGAAAAAGAACAAGACCCTCAAGGAGATGGATTAACACAATGACTACAACAATAGGCTCAGACATAACAATGATTGTGAGGATGGTGCAGGACCAGGCAGTGTTTCATTCTATTGTACATAGGGTTGCTAGGAGTCGGAACTGACTCGGTGGCACCTAACAACAAACAACGAGTTGGAACTGACTCGACGGCACCTAACAACAACAGCAAGAGCAACATATGTATCTGGCTCTTGAGGGTGTTCTTCAAATTGTATAAAACTTTTTTTTGAGGGGGCTACTTAGTCCAAAGAGGTTCAGTCAATTATGCTTCTATATGTCAACCATAGAAAGAAGTGGAAAGTTGGCTCAGTCTTGCTATTGCAGTTGTTCCTGATTACCACATGGTGTCACAGTTGAAGATTAGTCCCGCATAGTCCCATGGATGCTAGTCCATTATGTGTTGATGTCCTGTGTTTTTCATCCCTGCACAGGCTGAAGTGATAATCCGTGGATGGACTCCCAGGGTATAGTTCTCTTAGTTCACACACATAGGCTTAGCCAAGTTTTTTCTCAAGCAGGACTCAGTGCCTGGGTGGCTATCTTCTGAAGAGTTACCAGCACAAGTGATGCCATAATCAACCTTCCCCAAGGAGACTTCAAGCTTTTTATTGGGCCCAAGTTGAGGAATAGACTTTTAATGACTTCCTGGTGAATTCCTCTTTGCGATCCTTGATGTTTTTTCTTATAGACCTTGGGTCAAGACCACCACTGTTCTTCCTGAGAGATCCTTAATTTTGAATCTCTGTTTCTGTCCTTTTACTCCAAATAGGCTCTGGGCTGCTTTTGCAAATATCTCCACCTTGTGTTCAGTTACCCATTCTTTAAGCAAAGTAGGAAAGAGGTGTCTGCTTTTGTTTGAAAACAAATGTTCCATTAGTCCTAAAAGGAGACCCTCAGGTGACTCTTCGTTGAACAAAAGAGATGTATTCTGAAGTGACTCCGTAGGTCCATCCTGACACGGAAATGTTGTATAAGTGTGTCTGTGGAGATGAGCAGTGGGTTGAGTGGGAGGCAAGTAGTTGTTGGCATTCAGTGATAAAAGATTAACACCAAAGAGACAATGATTTGATAATTCAGTTGGTGAACGGCCAAAAGAATGAACAAACCAATCTGAGAAGAAATACAACAAGAATGTTCCTTAAAAGTGAGGATGGCAAAACTTCGACTTCCTTACTTTGAACACACCATCAGGAAAGACCAATTGCTAGGAAAGCTCATCATGATTGGTTAAGTGGAGGGTCAGTGAAAATGAGGGAAACCCTCAAAGAGATGGATTGGCAAATAGTCACAACAATGGTCTCAAACATACCAACGATTATGAAGATGGTGCAGGACCGGCAGGCAGCATATTATTCTGTTATACATAAGGTTACCATGAGTCAGAGCTGACTCCACGACAACTCACAACAATAACTCATAAAGTTATGAGCAGTGTTTAGGGAAACCAACAAGGAACAGTGTGGTATTCTTGGCTTAACCATAGTAGGGAGCCATTCCCATCCCCAGGCCTGAGGACTGTAGCTGCATGGACAGAGCTTCCTGACAAGGACAGTGACCTCCTGACAAGAGGGATGTGGCCCGACAACAGCAACCCAGCGGTGAGGAAAGCAGGGGGATGTATTCCCCAGTCCCATTCTCCTCCTCCTCGCCCATCTTCTACTCTGATTCCTGGTGGCCAAAACCAATGGAAACCTGAAACCAAGGGAATTAGTTGATGCAGTCCGTATAGGTCAAGCTCCCAAGCACAAAGCAATGTAGAAAAAGATGGAGGGTAGATCTGGAGGGGCAAATAAAAAAACATACAGCGCACGTGTAGTTTTAAATGACATTATTGCTAAGTTGAAGTATATTGGGCTTTTGTTTGTTCGTCCATTTGTTTGTTGTCTGTCTCCTTCCACTAGACCTAAGGTCCACAGGGGCAGGAATCTTGTTAGCCTTGTCTAACTCTGTGTTCTCAGCATCTAGAACAATGCCTGGAACACAATATGTTCTCAATAAATATTTATGGAATGAATGCATGAAAGGTCCTCTGTATATCACAGTGTGTCTAATGTTGTCAGTTGCTGTCAAGTCGATTCCGACTCACGGTGACCCCATTGAGCAGGGTAATACTGCTCCATCAGGTTTCCAAGGCTGTGGCCTTATTATTAATTTTGT